TGACAATGTGACTTCAGGTGGCATCGCGTCGTCAGGTCATGTGACACCGTGAAGTGGCATTGAGGCGTCAGGTGACGCTACATCACGTGATACCATAACGTGACATCACAGTACGTGATAACACTGTGACGTCGCACGACGTCATGTTTAGTTGCTTGTTTGTTTGTGTGCATTAGCGTTTGCATCACCTCGACTGTCGTAGCAGGTCATTCGCAGCAGACGGCAAGTAACCGGAATAGTTTTTTTTAAATTAATATTTCAGTTACCTTTTTGCGACAATTCCATCTTTCGATTTGAATATTCATGTTTGGACTTTGAACAAGCTCGTTATGATTAGAATGAATTCTGAATTTACATCTTTCGAGGATTAGATGCGTAAAATCTCGAAAACAGAACCGTTCCATCTTGACGATGAATGCTGCAGAAAACGGCGAGTGTAGTAAATAAGATTACAACGATAAATAAATTAAAAAAAAAAAAAAAACGAAGGGTCAGAAAACCGAAGCCTTAGAGCGAATGGCGCTAATCCAAGCGTTCCGCCATCCTTTCCTCGCATTTGGTGTCAAGGTCTTTTTCGTTTTACGTCGGCGACTGCCTCGTTTCGTCTCGTCCGAAAGGCGGAAATTATTTTTATATCGCTGTATTTACATTTGACGGCGGTTCAGCGTGGCTGCCTCGCGATGCTCCTCGTTCCATTTTTATCACCGCCTCTATACTGTACACTCCACGTATTGTCGCTCCGTTTATAGTCGATCCCGGCGCGGGGCGTGTGGTGCGAAGATCTGCGGCGCCAAGATCCACTAAATGAGGTGCGCTTAGAGTATCGGCACCCGTTTCCCCGATATTGTTTTTGGCGCCGCCATTTTGGTGCTAAGTACGGAAGAGACGCAACTGCCGATCGTCAGGATTCAAAAGTGCAACTTCCTCAGCATTATATTTTATGTTAGGAGGCTCGTGTAATATTGCCTCGCTCTGTCGCGAACTGTTTAAACATTTTTGGACGGCAGAAAAGTGTTTCCTGGGGTTTCATTTAGAGCTTTAGCTAACTGGCAACCATGATTTTAATCCACAATATAGCTACTCTGAAGCGTAGCTTAATTAGTGGCTCTATAGCCCCGCCTATGCTTACCCTATGGAGCTCCTGAATATGGTACGCTTCAGCTTCAGCCATCTCGGAGCTATGAAATCACTGTTGCCGGTTATCTGAAGATTATCTACAATTCCGTGGAAACGGATTTTTCGCCCCCCAGAAATGTTCGAACAGTATACGGAACAAAAACCGATAACGACTAAGCTTCCGGTCACCGCAGCTAAAGCTCAGCAAGGCGCATTTTCGATCGCGAATTGCCGCCGCTCTGCACCAAACACCAAGATGGTGGCGCCCATAAGAAACTTGGGGAATGAAGCGCCGATAACCTAAGCACGCCTTGTTTCATGGCTCTAGAAGCATCATTTACTGGCTAAGAAGTGAAAAAAGAGAGAGGGAATGGAGTGGAGGACTTCCTAAGAGACTGATTTGGATAGACCCTTTTCAAAAGTCCATCGAGCAACACTGGCGGCCGCCATATTTTTTTGCGTCGCTTCCTGGGCGAAGGGTGTAATTGGATCCGAGTTCACGCCGAACATGAACGCTGCACTCGTTTTAACGCATGTTCCAAATGCGTGCCCAAAATATGTCAGCCTTCGATAATCGACGCGGCAGCGAATGGAGGGCGCGCACTTTGAAAAAAAGGTATATTGGCATGATTTTCGTCACCCAGCTACACGTTGAGTGGTCGTCCATGGAATCTTGAGTTTTAGGCCTTCCGGGATATCTGCCTGCCGAAACTCGAGCTAGTCTTGCTTACGCGATGCCGCACAATCCTCTTTCCGAATCTGCAGAGTGTGCACCCCGTTTATTGTAACACCTCTCGTGCCAGAATCCTTGGGCTTTCCCTGCGTGTGTTTGTGTTTGTGTTTGCGCGTCGCACGGCCGGCAGACAGACGGTATGTGTAGCGACCGCCACGGCGGATTACCACCATCACTTAGGGGATCAGCGCTCGCTCTCGGCCCCATCGTGCGAAGTGGATGGAATCCTCGGATGACAACCAGAGAACACGTTTGTCCCTCCCTTTCTCTTCGTTGGTCTCCGAGTGGGGCGACTGTGGGGATCGGTCTGTCGAGGAACTCAAGAAGCGTCACTCGCAACGGACTTTCTCGCCGGAGTCTCGCCGCTGCTGCTGTTGGGTCGATGACATCCGCCAGGAGATCTCCTCTCTGGTGTATCTGCTCGTTTTTGTTCGTGGCATCATATTTGGGGCTCCTCGTTTGCGCCGTTTGTTTACAGTAAACGCCGTCGGTTTTATAGTAATTTTTTTTTCCTTTTGCATTTATCTGCGCTTGATGCTAACATCTGCCGCAATCGCAAGTCGTGAATAACAAACCATAAGTCTTTTTTTTTTTAATTTTCCACGTTATAGTTTGTTGCGGGCTCAGAAACGCGGGAAAAGCTCCTGCCACAAAGCCCCCCTCCTCTTTCTACTTTGGCAGACCAAAGGCTGGAGAGGAGGTGAGTGGAGAGGAGGAAGCCACCAATCATGTCGAGCAGAGAGCTTCGTGGGAGGGGCTTGCCCTGCTTTTCCTAACCTGCAACAGGCAATAACCTGCATGGAGTACCACGGCCGGACTGGAAGCGCGCGAGCTTCCAGTCCGGCCGTGGGAATACAAACCCAAAGGGGGTTTTCGAGCTGGGTTAGCACCACGTAAGGGAGTTTGCTCACGTTCTGAAATCTGGAGCGTCTGCTTTCCCGCAAAGCACCGAGGAGAACCCATCGCTGCAATCTACGGAGGCAGCTCGGCGACTGAAAAAAAAGCTAAAAATAAGTTTACACCTAAAAAAAAAAAAAAAATTATGCATTACAAAAACCTCGAGACCGCGGTTAAAAATGACATACACTAAAAGCTATGTGTCGTTTTTACCCGAACGACACATACACTAGAATGTATGGGTCGTTTTTACCCGCAGTCTCTTTTTTTAGGCTTAAAATTTGCCACCTCTTTTGGGCCTTTACATTCAGTTGATTAAAAAAAAAAAAAACATTCTGCGCTGTGACGTTGATCATGGTGAAACGTCATGCTCGTGACAGCTCAGACTGTTGCTTAGGTGTAGAAATATTTTGATGCTCTTCAGTCGCCGACCCGCCCCCGTAGATTGCAGCCATTGGTTCTTCCAAGTGCTTTGCTGGAAACTAGACGCTCCAGATTTCTTAGAGCGAGCCGTGATGGCCTCGTCTGTAAACAGGACTGTGGGCGTCTCGTACTCAATTCACACGGCTAGCACCTTTAATACGTGCCCTAGTTACACTAGCGCTCTCAACTGTTGTTAAGCCAACGATCGTTGGCATTTCGCAACTCTCATGGAGCTCAACCAAGTTGTCCGGTGTTACTCGGTTCAAAGGCCTAACCAAGTTTAGATGCGCGTCACGGCACACAGTTGAAACCGAAACGAAACCAAAAATTCTGACACATTAACTTTTTTTTTTTTAAGTGATGCAAATTAGTCATGTGTACACGGTTTATAAAGTATAAACGTTTGAAACAATTACCCTCCTTTTTTGTCTTTAGAGTAAAGAAACGATAATCAGAACGTTTCACACGAATTCAAGCAAGAGACAATGAAAGTCTTATCGGCCCCGACATCGAATGGCCGCCCTCGTCGAGCTTTGGCTTCCGCGACGTGCCGTAATCGCTTTAGCGGCAACTCTGGCCCCGAATCATATACCTCTTCCGACAATATTTGCTGCTACGATACTTTCTAGATACCTCCCCCATTCTTCCGCAATTGTAAGTGCTTCGCTGGCGCTGGCCATGGGCGGCGATTCGGTGGACGCCGCCACCTTTAGCTCTATTGGGGCGAGCTCCCATCAGTTAACTGAGGTAGAGCAGCTCAGTTGAACTCGATGATCGTTGGCGGCTCCATGACGGTTGGCGCCAGAGCTGTTTATTGGTTGGCGCCGCCGTGTAACTCCCTCTGGCCGGTCACGATTGAGTCAACTGTCGTTGGCTTAATGGCAGCGCTAGTGTAATTATGGTATAGTAGAATATAACGTAGGACCCTTCGCGATCGGCGAATCGGCCCGCGCTTTTGGGTCGCGAGCACATGCCACGCGCTGAGATCGCGAACTCATTCGCCGCCGACCCTAGAAATCATTAACTTATCGTCTACCGTCAAGAACAGTTTTGGGGTGCAGAAGTCATCTGGCGAATGCTTGCTGTCAGCACGCGCCCAACAGGAAAGCGCACACCTATGACCGCCTGTGAATACTCTAGAAACTGTACTAATGGAGACAGTTGGGCGAGTTTGTATAGATTGAACCTAGTTAGAGTGTGGGTAATGTCAAGTGTTCCCTCGAGCTTGCGGGCCCTCGAGCCTGTGGTCCCTCGTGTCTGTGTGGCCAACGCTCGAACTGATTCTGCTTTTTGTACCTCTTTCTTTTCATCTTTCGTCGATACACGAGTTGTGAATGTCCGCTTGTCTTTCGTCTACGTGTTCCTCTTCTCTGTCCCCGTCCTTTTGTGCGCAACTGGAACTACCATGCTCACTCTAGAAACCTTTATGATCGTGGGGATGCTGTATGGATCGCTTCAGGGATTACGCCCTCGCTCTTACAGGTCGATCTGAAAATATTACCAAGTGCCGTGCGCAAAAAACACCAACAAGCTGGCAAGTCCATGACTGATAGAAAACTCACTTCCAAGAGACTGCATACAATTGATCGGCTTGTTATTTTTATGGTGTCTTTTGCGACCGCTACTTTCAGTATGTTCTGATCGACCTTAAAGGGCGTAATTTTGGAAAGGTCTGTTATATCCGCCAATGTGATCTGTTGGCCGGGCTATGCCTGACGACCACCAGGCGACTCATTAAGATTTGGTTGAGCCAAGTTCCTTCATCAGTGCGAGCTGTTCTGCCTGTCCTAAGTTCTTAATGTTGGGTCCCTCCGCTCTGTGTCGTTTACAGAGACGCCGGCAATGAGGGCCGCCTCAGCAGCAGCGCCGTCTGAAGGGATGTCTTGACGGCAACACTCGGAGATCATGATGCCTACCAGCAAGTTGGATCCCTACCAGGAGCTGGAAGCCTACCTCCAACAAGCCCAGGTACTTTTATATTATGCGAACAGAGCAGGTTGGCACAAATGACTTGAAACACGAAAGAATAAAACTGATAGGGATTGACATACACAGACAGGACCGTTCTTTCAATTAGCAACCGACGTTTATGATGGCTCCTGAATCGGTCAGCGCTTCTCTAACCCTATCCTCGAAAACAGCTTCCCTTTTTCCAACGGCGTTATATTCGCTGTTATCGCGGCTTTTCTTCCTGTTTTTTGAGGGTTGCGTTAGAGAAGCGCTGACCGATTGAGGAGATATACGTCGGTTGCCAATTGAAAGAACTGTCCGGTCTGTGTGTGTCCGACCCTATATGTTTTATTCTTTCGTGTCTTAAGTACTTTTATATTTCTTGCGACGATACGTCAAGTGGACAACTTTAAACACTAAACTTTTTGCGTGCGTCCTCTCTGAGTATGCTAACGCCACTTGTAACCCAACTAAGAAAGTGTCTTTCAAACCTCGCTCATCAGGTACTGCGAGGGTCGGAACTTCAAAATGAATGTTACTAACGTTTTCACATTGGCATGCGAACATGCATATTTAACATTTGGCCTTTACGGTCGAACCAGCAGTTTTCTTCTTCTTCTTTTTTTTTTTTGTTATCTCGCACAACTATTGGTTTTACCTGGTTTGCGACATAACGAATGATTCTACTAATTCATTTGTTTATCCTTTCTTAATTATTGTCGTTCTGTTTATTACGCTTCGACTGGACGTGGCTTGTTTCCTATGGGGTCGCACCATCCTACGGTAAGAACCAGCTATAACCAAACCGCGGAGTTGAGAACATTGTAAAAAGTATACATGCATTGCCGTTCTAGCACTTACGCGAATCTGAGCCTCTAGTCACACATCTAATGTCAAATAGCTTTTGGTTAGTCCTGTAGCCTCCAATCGAGGACCTTAATCTTGATCATCCTTTTACCAGGCAGTCGAGTACTCACCGCAAACCAACAGACGTTTTAATTATGCGCATTCTTTTGAGCGCTTCTCTTCCATAGAACATAGCATAGTCTATGGCCGGTCAGCTATCGACGCTTGCCGTGTTTTTTTATGGTTTGAAATGGTTGGCAGCTTTACCGAGAAACCGGACTTTCTGCCGTCACTGTTTGGTGGCGACGGAACGAAGGAAAGGTCCGCTTGTGGGGACCTCGAAAAATGTAATAATGATGTTACCAAAAACAAAAACTAAGTTGCTATTACTTCTTTTTTCTTTTTCTCCATCGCTTCCAGCCTTTTTTTTTTTTTGCGCTCTATTTTGATTTTGATTTGCTCCTTCGCCTCTTCTTTTTCTTGCTCTTCGATTTCCTTCTGGATCTCTTGGACGACTTCGATTTGGATTTTGACTTTCTCTTCGACCTAGACTTGGATTTTGACTTCTTCGACCTAGACTTTTTCTTCGATTTCTTTTTAGACCTCTTTTTCGAGCGACCTTTAGACTTCGTCTTTTTGGTAGTCTCGCTGCTAGAGCTTGTTGGGCTACTGGAGCGACTGGACGAAGGCGTCACGCTAGTTGATGATGTTGATGTCGGCGACACCGCCGTAGTCCCAGTCGTGGTCGTCGACGACGGTGTGCTCATCACGGGCACTGCCGGTCGAATCCCGAAAAACGACGGCTGACTACCTCTGATCGGTTCCTCTCCCTTACGCCAACCCTGAATCTCCCGCACAAGTCGCCTCTCGACGTCGATGAGACGCCGGACCTTCTCCTCCATTCGCTGCAGTTCCGCGAAATAGTCGTCTTCACTATCGAAGTCGCTCCTTCTCCAGCTGGCCAACTCGTCGGCCAGCTCGGACTCAAGATCGATGAGTTCCTTGAGTTTACTCTCGGCGGCAAAGATGTTTCTCAGGTTGTGTTCTCCTCTCTGCCCTCCCATCTGGATGGCCCTCCGTGCTCGAATGACCTCGCGAGACACCTCGAGGATATCCTGGATGAGGGTCCGTATTCTTCCGCCCATCTGCAGAACCCGCGCGCTCCTGGAGCGTCGGCGTATCTGGTCGAGACTGCGGCTCACCATGTCGTGAAAGCTCTCGTAGCTATCGCTACGTCGTTGACGGTACCTGATGTCACCGTCACTCCTGGCGCGCCTCCTTTGACGTGTCTGTGTCCTTTTCCGACTGAGGGCCCTCCTTTCGCGGCTGGCACCACGACGACGACTGATTGAAGGTGTCCGGTACGTGCGACTGTATAAGTCGTCCTCGTCGTAGCATCGGCGAACCACAGCACTGGCCCTCCTTCGTCTAACGTAGGGGTAGGTCTTATGGTACCGGTCTAACCTACACTCCGAGCATTCTGTATCGTCCTCGTCGTCGAAGTCGAAGGTTCGAGCCCTCCTCCACCTTCGCCATGGCCTGCTTCGAGACCTTCTAGGGGAACTGAGCGTCTCGAACATTTCGTCGAGCGAGAGGGCCGGTCGCCTGATGCTGGCGGGCATTTGTTGTTTACCGCCGTCCCTTGTCAACTGTCGTGCCACCGGCGCGAGCGCCGATGCGGTCATCCTTACGACCCTCGGGGTTGCGGCAGACCGATCCGGATGTTCTTCTGTAGGTATCTGTATGACCACCGGTGATGTAGTTGACCGCGGAGAGCACGGCTGTGCTGCCCTGTTGACAATGACGGTGGTCTCGGAGGCCATCGCTCTACGTGGCGGCGGCGATGGCTCTTTAACACCTTGTCCTGGCGCGGGAATGGTCCCCACGGGTACGATGGGGATGCAGTTCGGCGGCAAGAATTGGTATCCGGGGGGTGGCGCCATGACTGGTGGCGTTGGTGACCGAGCCGTCCCTGACCTAGGAATGACGGACTGTTGGATGAGTGTTTGCTTGTAAGCCTCTCGGAGGGCATGCCGTTGGGCCTGTCGGCTCATGGTGTCCTACGACGGGTCCCGTGGCTACCGTGGCGGCGGGCCACGGGGCCTTCTTCGCGAGCCGCGATTTTAGGCCTTGCTGTGTGGATTTGCTTTTGTTTTCTTTGTTCATGGCCTCTAGCGTTGCTAATGATGATGATCGCGTCGTAGTTCCGTCCCATGGCAAATAAAAGACAGAACGCCATGAACCACATCGTGCGTCAGGGGGATCGGAACAGGGGACACGCCCCGATATTATTGAATGTTTTCAAGGGATCGTGCAAAAATGAGGGCTTGCCTCCATCACTTCGAAAAGCACACACGGGGCTAATCTCCAAGTCTAAAGACGTGTCAAAACTTGAATTGTGACTAAGATTTTCGCATGAATTCTAGCCGGACGTCGGCGACGTGTGATATCTATGATAGTTGGATATATACTACCAGACCTTTCCATCAAAGGAATGAATATGCAAACGAACATTCACATTATTTTGTCAATATTATACTCTGCGTCAACTATTTTGTGCTACATTGTCAAGGTTAGCCTAGCTTGCAGCAGTCCTGCACTGCTGCCAAAGCGCGTAACTTTGTCTTCTGCACTTCATTTTCACGCGCTCATGGAACTAGGTTTGACAGAGCTGGGGGTGGGGGATCGGTGACCGAGTGGGCTAGCACACACCAGCTCGGAGCACGTGGAGCGAAAGGGATTTCGGGTTCAATCCGCACCCCTGCCTGTTTCGATCTGAACATCGTACCAGCGTGCGGTCGCATATCACTACTACGTGGTGCACGTTAAAGAGCCCAGGCTAGCGGTTGCACCGCGCTGGCTAGGTTACTCGTATACAGCTGAGAGACAAGTCGCGCTTTGGGGCAGACTAAGTTCACGCTGTATAAACATACACAGACCAATTTTTCTTTAGATAGTTCACGCCGAGTATGGAGATCTGGTAAAGAACGCATGAACCTGCGGTACTTTTACAACTTGATCTTGCAAAGTCTTTTGATGGGGTCGAACATTCCTTTCTTTTCGCTCTTCTGAGACATATGCAGGTTGGGGAAAACATCGAGCGGGGAGTAAAACTCTGCTATTCTGGCATGTCAACAAGAATGAACGGGACTGTCACGAAATCGATAGCAGTTCAACGCTCAGTCCGCCGAAGCATGCCCTATGTCGCTACTTCTCTTCGACCTTCATCTCTCTTTCTCTCTCTCTCGAGATAGAGAGAGAGTGTGTGTTAAATTTATTAAACGACTCCAGTTCGAGCCGTTTCTCATCTTGAGCATCTCCGTAGAAGCATAATTAAAGGGGCCGTGAAACCCAAGTACAGTGTAACCTAAGTATACTCGCACGCAAAGCGACTGGCCAAGAAACTCATTTGTTGCGGTAATTTTCAAAAACAAAAGCCAGCGTTTATTTTTTATTTTTTCAATCTCTTCTTTGCAAAACTTGACGTACCTGGGGGGTCGCAGGACCGCCCAGTGACGCTATTTGAATGCGGCTCCTAGAGTGGACCCGGGCATTACGTGAGCACTCGATTTGGGCTTGTGATGATCAATAGCTCCAGAAGCATACGTGTAATTGCCCGTGTCCAATCGCTGCAATGGCGACAATAGCCGAACAATAACAATGTCTGGAACTCAGCGCGTGTCCTGTACTGTGCCAACCCCAGCGCTCGGCTATGATCAACATGGCGGCATCTATTCGGCTCCAGATCACGTGGCCGCTTGTTCTCATTGCAAGTTGAAGGGGTGAACGCTGCTCTTCTTTTTGCTTTAATATTTTCTGCGACTTCTATTTTGTGTGGTGAGGAAACGAACGCGTGTTTCATAGGTCATTAAAGTCAGGGATTCGTTCTATGCAGCATTTGCCCTAAGTACAAAATCGTTGCATCGCCCTTTAAAGGGCCTATGACATGCCACAAAAATTCAAAGTTCCCGCCCCTGCCCTGTGACGAAACAGTGTACCGCAAGGTGTCGGGGCGGTCAGAAGGGAGGCATCCAGCTACGTCACTAAAAGTAGGTTCGCCGGAAGTCACGTCAGTTTCAATCCTCGTGCTCTCCGCAACCGTGCCTGAGACTTTTTTTTATTTTTTTTTATTTTGTTTTTTTTTGTGAGCGTATGCAGGCATGGATATAGTT